GTTTTCCTTCTGACGCTGAAGCAAATTGCTTTTACAGAAAACAGACTGAACTTTCGTGGTAACATTGCAGTTATTTTGCAGTTTATTTCAGAAACACATCAACATTTAACAGGAGGAAGCTGGAATCAAACCTACAACCGTCAGATCGAAAGACAACTACTGACATGCAAACACTCTCACACTCAAACAATTTAGGTTTATCATTTGACAGGGAGGCAGAATCAAAACAATAACTTTATGGGTACAAGATGACTGGTCTGTCTAGCCAGTATTTGAATGACTGTCACCACTGTCAGACATCCATAGTTATTTTTTAAAGATTGTCCATCAATGTGGTGTTTTAGATGGTTTTTGACAGCTGAGAAGAATTCTGACTTTAACACAACAAAATTATTGGGGAAAAGTAACAGCGCTTAAATGCTAATAGATTCACTCAGCATATTTCTATTTGTTTCTTTGAAAATATATTGTTTTCCGTTGATGGCATCACGTAGTACCATGTGGTACTTGGTAACACATCTTCATCCATATATGGAAATGCATTTCCTTTCAAAGAATCAACCTGCTGCTTTCGAATAAAATAATTTGAGAATAGATATAGACATTGGATGTATGACTGGCATTTCAAGTTTCTTTGAATTCCAAATTTCATTCCGATCTAATTTGAGATATGGCAAAACTTTACTATCCTTTGATTTTGTCTTTTTTCTATCTGTTAATTAAGTTAGGTGAGCAAGTTTAGACCGGTAAGCCAGAAATATTCCCAGAGTTGACTAACAGCCTGGATTTCGTAGCTACATTAGTAAAACAGAGGAGGCTTTCCCATCTGTTGCTTCAGGATATGAGTCAAACACGATCGCTCCGGTGCTCCTACAGTTCCAATCAGGTGACTGAACGCAACACCGCAGACATCTTTCTTGTAATTATTTCTCTCTGCTTTCTTGACCTCCCTTTTGCCACTGTCTACAAAGTGACAATAAAACGCCTTCTGGTCTGTCCATTGCTCGTTCAGATCAGTCTGTGCTAATATTTTCTGATTTGTTTGACGTACAAAAATCAACCATAGTGTCCCATCAAATAAAATGAAAAATATATACATATATATATATATTTTTTCTGAGACAATACTCAATACTCTGAACATTGTTATTACCATGATGAAGTGAGAAAAAAACAACAACAAAGGATTCAAAATAAAACTCAGACTCTTCTGAGAATATTAACATAAACAGTTTGACAGGGTTAGAAAAGCAAAACTTTTCCCAGAATAACTGCAGGGCACAGCAGAGTCAGCTTGGTAAAGTACCTGGAGTTTGGTGATGGGGCAATGTTTCCTCCACATCAGATGAAGTGACGGCCCTCTTTGTTGACAAGTCTCACAGTCCCACCGCAAAGTCAACAAATCAGACAAGCCCGCCGTCATAAAACGCAACACAGCTGAAAAGGAAGTGGGCCGAAAACCACATCAGTGGTAGCAGACGTAAAGCGATTTTTTTTTTCTTTTGCATTTATAACAGACTGCTAGAAACATACCATAAGAAATATAAATTAATCAAAACCAAAGCATGTCACAGTCAGGGACAAAGTTAGACCAAGCTTGTTATGCAATGCTGAAGTGTAAACACTAAATCTGGGCTGCCTGGAGGAAAATGAGAGCATTTGTGAAATACTCTCCACGCGTAAACTGGGCTTTGCATGTAAGCAAGTCTTTAACTTAAACTGTAAACATGAAAACTAGGCTGCTGGGAAGAAAATGAGAGCAGTGTGCGAGGTGGTTTCTTGTGAAATATGCTCGGTTTTGAGATTCCACAGAAAAATAGAGTTTTCTCCCTGAGCAAATAGTGACCTTAAAATGTCAACATCTAGAATATGTCTCAGATATGAGGCAGTGCTGCTGCATCTGTAGTTTTGGGTCTCTTTACAGCCTAAGAGACATACATGGAGAAGTCAGAAAGGATAACATTTTGGCATTTCATGTCTTTTACGCTAACAAAATTACCATAATTGCAAAAATCCCACCCATATAAGCAGTGACGGTCTTGCTGCTGCTGCACTCTGATATTATCCAGCTCTCTAATGACGCAGTTTGACCTCATATGGGTCTATTGTGTGTGCCAAGAGGCTGTGGCAAGGAAAACTTGGGAAGATTTCCATACAAGCAGAGTTTATTCATGGGCAAGTGCCAGATTTCAATTTGAGAACCAAGTGGCAAAACCAAATGAAATGAGGCATTCGTAAAAGTCAGTGGAGCCGTGCTCATTAAATCTTTGACGCCAAGGGAAATCAGTGGCAGATGTTTTTAAAGAGAGCTGCATATACTCTAAAGACTTATATACAAGCAGAAATAACCTTCAGGTTTTTGTCCAAAGTACTAAAAAGGAAACAAATTAAAAAAATAAAAAAATAATTAGATTTGTGGCAAGGTAGGACATTTGCAAAAGTGAAAACGAGCTCAAATATTGTTCAGTAATGAGGATGTGATGGAGCTTCAGCGCTGCTGGCATACTTTCAGGTGAAAACCAACGTCTGCCACAGTAATGTGTCTACAAGTATGATGTCAAGGAACAACATGTCTCAATTTTTGCTGTTTTTTTTTTTTTTACTTTTTGTCACATTCTTTTGCATGTAATAAGAAAAATGTACGAAAGCATAAAAGAGGGCAAGCACAATGCGGGTAAGAACACAATGAAATTTTCCAAAAGCAATGGCGACACATACAAACTCAGACATTGATTCCTATATGCCCTTTAATCCACTGAGGGGGAGGAAGAGAGGAGTAATGTACTCTGAAAGCAGGAGCTTGAAAGCAGAGTCTGCCTGTCATTTGCCACAATAATGAATGACTTCTTGTGGCCAACACTGAAATCTAAAAAATAAATAAATAAATTCAGGCGCATATCAGGCATCTGCTTTTTTGTCCCAGGACTAAGAAGCACTTTTACTCTTGCGCCAGCTCTGCCATTTCACTAAACAACCGAGTCAGAAAATGCATTAAGCTATCCATCCATTGTTTATGGACAGACATCCAAGCTGTCCATCCACTGTTAGTGAAGTTACGTCAGCATGCAAGCTCATCCTCACAGATCACCAGGGGTGGTGAGGCAGTGACCAACAAGCTAAAACCATAAGAAGCCGACATAAACATTGTGAGATGGGAGATAGCACCTAAAACCCATGAGAAGTATTTTGATTTGATCAGTTTTATCTTTTATTTATACTGGAAGCAATCATGCTGATCCTACCTGGTATTTGTTAATATATATTTCTGAAAAGAGGAAACGGGAGATATAACAACATTGATGAGTAATGTCCTATATAAGGCGGCAAAAGGATATGTGTCAAACCGAGTGAGCCACTGACCACTTCTTCCTCTGTAAATCGTAGGTGCATCACTTCACACCTCCTTCTCGTCCTCAAAAGGTGAAAAACTACCATAAAAAGCAAAACATCTGCGAGGCAGAAGCTGCTGATTTGCAGATAGAATTAGGTCAATGAAGCTTAACAATACGTTTTGTTTTGTTTTTTACATTGGATTGAAGTTATTGACAATGGGGACTTCATTCAAGAGGGGCTTATATAGGACTTTGGTTCTCTGGTTTACAACTTTGCAGATGTGTGCCAGTATAAAAAGTGCAGAGCAGCAAACTAACAAAAAAAAAACAAAACAAAAAAAACAACTACATGTTTGCACAGCAAGACACAATGTCAGCAATGTGTTCACTTAAAAGAAAAATCCCTTATCCCCCACCCCGACCAACCATGTGGGATAGCGAGTCATGACATGCTGTCCGAGGATCATCTATCACCATGCATCTTACGTATCCTAAACCATGAAAGAAAACATCTTTTACCCAACGTAGAAATGCTCTTAACATTCTTTGTCAAGTTCATAGTTGAACACGCAAGTTGTTTTTTAATAAAAAGATGTTCTTGAAATATATGGGAAGAAACATCCGTGCGAAAGAGAGCACGTCACCAAAACATGTGAGGTAATATATGTGATGAAATTACAGGTATTACTAATGATCTGGGTGAGTTCTGTTGCATCAGGAGCGACAGTGAGGAGATAACAAATATTTCTCAAAAAAATCTGTCAAAACACACACTGAAGTAGGGAAACGGAGAAAAACCTTTAATAAGCATGTTTGATTCATTTGGTAGCTGTTGTATTCCCTTTTTTTATATCTTGCTTATTTTCTGTTCAATGAAACTGAGCAACATTTTAATCACTATTTCTATTAATCAAACAAAAGTAAAAACACTCAAGAGACTGAGTACACAAAACAGCAGAGCACAGTTTTCTTAGTCTGCTTTATCCTTGACCTAATTTTGCGTTTCTGTTGGCATCCAGCTTCGAACAAAGAGGAAGGAACTCTATATTTGTATAACAAAAAGAAAAAAAAAGAACGTGGAAGCGGATATTTTTATATTGACACTTTAAGCAGTGAAATAACAGAAGTGTCTGGCTTGGTCTCATGATGATTTTTGCCTTTTCATAAACACACTCATAAACAGCTGAGTCGTTTCCTTGAAATTAATGATGAAAACAAACCAGCTCCTTTATCTGTAATCAATGCTCTTTAAACTTTACATTGTTAACAATCATGTAAACAATCTATGAAAGTTGATTTCATCATCTTTGGTTCACTTTGTTTACTTTACAAATTCGTCTCAGAGTAGGAAGCAAAAGCTTCATAAGGACATTTTTCATAGCAGTGCTGTACAAAGAAGCTAATTATTTTTGTGGTGTGCTCTTATTTTAAGAGACAAGTAGTCACAATTTACATGGAAAAAGTTTTAAAAGAAAAAGAACCCATCAACTTATTACCCACTCATTAGTTAGTAGGTATGAAATAAATGTGGATGTTTTGGAAATTCCCCCAGCCTGTAAAGTTTTGCACATATCTGATGTTACAGTAGGCGGGAGCGAGGGTTTGATGACTAAGACTCTACTCTGTATAAATACAACATCTACAACCCCAACCAGCAGCACAGTTCAGACAGACAACAGGAACCAACTTCCAAAACACAGAAGACGTCACAGCAGCGTAAACTTAGCCAATCTTCTGAGAGTTTTTTCTTACTTTGACTTTGGTTCACACTTGATTATCTGTCTTTGAACATAGTTTTTGCATTTTTGTTGCATTTTGTGCCGCAGCAGAGCTCATCATGAGGTGCTGTGCATTAGTGGTGTGTTTACTTTTGGGAATAGGCGTGCAGAACGGATGGAGCCTTCCAGTCAAGTCGGTCTTTGTCACTTTCCCAGGGGACGTCGTGAAAAATGTGACAGATGTGGAGCTGGCAGAAGTGAGTAGCAGATGGTTTATTCTTCTTTTCACAGTCTGAAACTCCCAGAACGGAGTTTTAATAAAGCTGTTTAGGGGAAACAAATTACCTGAACAGAGACTGATATCACAATGTTGATGGAAATATTTACTCTCTAAATTAAAGCTACAGATGCCTTTTATAAAAGCAATTTATAAATGTCACAAATTGAGTATAGGAGTGTTTGGCTGAGCTCTGACGTGCTTTGTCTTGTTTGACAGAGTTATCTGAAAAGGTTTGGTTACATGGAGACGGAGCACCGCAGTGGCTTCCAGTCCATGGTGTCCACAGCAAAGGCTCTGAAGAGGATGCAGAGACAGATGGGTCTGGAGGAGACTGGAGAACTGGACAAGATGACACTGGAGGCCATGAAGCGTCCTCGCTGTGGTGTTCCTGATGTGGCCAATTACAAAACCTTTGACGGGGACCTCAAATGGGACCATAATGATGTTACATACAGGTGAGTGGAAGGAAGAAACACTATGTGTCATTACATTGACGATTACACAGTGAGATATTTTTTTATTCTACCAACTATGCAGTGGCTATAAAAAAACTTTGCTTTTTAATAAAACATTGATTTTCAAGCAGAATTTCAGAAAACTAATTTTTTGAAAATAGCACTTTATACAAAAAAAACAAATCGTAGATGTTCATGCAAGGGAAAGCTTAAATAATATTAACTTTAAATGCTTGAAAACATGCAAATAAAGAGAAAAGTAAAAACTGACACACTACCCAGTGCCTTGTGTGATTTCACCAGAGATGTTCTTGCTATGGTAGATTATATGTTTACAAAAAAAAAAAAAAACAATTCACAGCCTAAACTTAAAAGCAAATTATATCATGACATTTTGTGCTATAGGCAGAAAACTATCTCTTGAAGCTGAAAAGCGTTGATAAGTTTCCACTGGACTGGATCAGCTAGTCATTTTGAGTTTACTGTGTCCTCAGGATCCTGAACTATTCTCCTGACATGGACAGCAATCTGATTGATGATGCCTTTGCAAGAGCCTTCAAGGTGTGGAGTGATGTCACTCCTCTGAAATTTACCCGCCTTTTTCAAGGCACTGCAGACATCATGATCTCCTTTGGAAAAGCTGGTATGTGCTCTTTTTTACATTTACAAGTCAAACCTTTGCTCCCTAACAAATTAAGAAACTGAATTCTAAAAATCAAACATTGATGAGCTGCTTCATGGTCTTATTAGACCACGGGGATCTATACCCCTTTGACGGAAAGGATGGCCTCCTAGCTCACGCCTATCCTCCTGGTGATGGCATCCAGGGGGACGCCCACTTTGACGATGACGAACACTGGACTCTGGGAAAAGGAGCAGGTAACTACACCTCAGAAATCACATGGTGGCGCTTTCCTCTGGTGTTCTTTGCACAGATCTCCTTTAACACACAATCAAATCTGTCTTCTCAGTGGTAAAGACTTACTATGGCAATGCAGAAGGCGCCTTGTGCCACTTCCCCTTCACTTTCGAAGGGAAATCATACACCAGCTGCACCACCGAAGGCCGAACCGACAACCTGCCCTGGTGTGCAACCACAGCCGACTACAACAAAGACAAGAAATACGGCTTCTGCCCAAGTGAACGTAAGCATGACAAAAACGAGTTACCCATTACGTTTATGAGATTGTGAAGGAAAACTGAGGCTCATCCAACTATGTTTTCTACTGTAATTCTCACAGTCTTGTACACGTTTGACGGAAACGCGGATGGAGCCCCCTGTATATTCCCCTTCATCTTCCAGGGTGAGAAGTATGAGAGCTGTACGACCGAGGGCCGCAGCGACGGATACCGCTGGTGTGCCACCACCAGCAACTTTGACACGGACAAAAAATATGGCTTCTGTCCCAACCGTGGTGGGTAACAGGAAACCCAAGGCGTGAAAGTCCTGCCACAGTGGCTTGTTGCTTTGTTTAACCACAGTTATTTTGTCTCTGTTTGTCCAGACACTGCTGTAATTGGAGGAAACTCAGAGGGAGATCCCTGCCACTTTCCTTTTGTGTTTCTGGGCAAGGAATACCACTCATGTACAAGTGAGGGGAGAGGAGATGGCAAATTGTGGTGTGGCACCACTGACAGCTATGATGAAGACAAGAAATGGGGTTTCTGTCCTGACCAGGGTGAGCAACATGAATGCCAGACTTTGTTCTGTGTTTACTATTTTATGCAATGGTAAAATTTATAACCGGATATCTTTCAGGTTATAGCCTGTTCCTGGTGGCTGCCCACGAGTTCGGACACGCCCTTGGTTTGGATCACTCCAACATTAGAGACGCCCTCATGTACCCAATGTACAGCTATGTGGAGGATTTCTCCCTGCATGAGGATGACATTGAAGGCATTCAGTACCTCTATGGTGAGCTCATAGCTCAGTACTCTTTCATGACGAATCTCATCAAACACACGTTAACTTTGCCTTAACCAAGAACATCCCCATATTACGCAGGAAGTAAAACAGGCCCTGATCCTACTCCTCCTCAACCTAATACTCCTACCACAACTCCTTACCCCGACGAGAGCGACGCCACAGAAGAACCTGAACCCACTGATCCATCGGTCGGGACAACACCATCCACTGTGGATCCAACTAAAGACCCCTGCAAGATGCTCAAGTTTGACACCATCACTGTGATTCAGGGACATCTGCATTTCTTCAAAGATGGGTGAGTAAATACATAGTTTTACTTATTTTCTAGAAATATAACATGATTAGATGATAATCTTGCATTTTTGGTTAACAGGCAATTCTGGAAGGTACCAAGCAAGGGAGACGGAGGCCGAAAGGGACCATTTTCCATTTCTCAGAGTTGGCCAGCTCTACCATCTGTCATTGACTCTGCCTTTGAGGATGTTCAGACCAAAAAAATATACTTCTTTTCAGGTAAGGAGTGTTCTTTCAAGAGCCTATCAGAGCACTGAAATGTTAGACAAAGAGTTTTAATCATATTATTATTGTTACCTTACAACAGGAAGCAGGTTCTGGGTGTACACAGGAAGCAGTGTGCTTGGGCCCCGCAGTATTGAGAAGCTTGGTTTGCCCCCAAGTGTGCAGAAGGTGGAGGGAGCACTGCAGAGAGGGAAGAGCAAAGTGCTTCTCTTCAGTGGCGAGAACTTCTGGAGGTGAGTAGAAATTGCCCCCTTTTTTTTAGAAGAAATCTGTAATGTAACCCATCCTTTAACGGGTTTTGTGTTATAGGACCAACAGCAGATCTCAATCTGATTCTTTTCCCAACAGGTTTGATCTCAAGACCCAAAGAATTGACAAAGGATACCCCAAATATACCGATGCCATCTTTGGAGGTGTCCCTAATGATGCTCATGATGTGTTCCAGCACAAAGGTAAGCATACCTTAAGCTCAGGAACCCAAATCCACAAACATCAACAAAACATGGCATACAATGTGGTTGTTGTAACATCAACGTTTCCCTTTCAGGCAACATTTACTTCTGCAGAGATCGTTTCTACTGGCGCATGAATTCTCGCAGGCAGGTGGACCGCGTCGGCTACGTGAAATACGATCTTCTGAAATGCCCAGATGCCTCAAGAAATCACTACTGAGATACATGCACGGATGGGCTGTGAGGCTGTAGCAACCAAATGTTTTTTTGTGCAGGTGTCTGAAAGAATGTGATGCAGTGTTTGCGCATCATGCCTTTTGTATGATGTATGTGCTTTATGCAATGTGAACGACTAGCCTCTATTGAATTTGGCTGATTATTACTCATACAGCATTGGACTGAATCCAAGTCAAAGGCCCAGAACAAGAAGGCAAACAACCATCGTTTGCACTCAGTCTGAAATGCTGTGAACTGATGACCATAGTGGCCTATAATTTGAGACCCATACAAGTAATTTTAACACATGCTTTCTGGATAAAACTCCAGATTTGCAGATGAAATTTCATGTCTGACTGGATCAGACCCTTGTCAGTATTCAAATATTATTATTTTTTTGGTATTTATAGCAACATCTAATATTATTATTTTATGTCATAAGCCTATTTGTTTTGTGTGGTTTTATGTGATTTTCTGAAAATGGTTTCAAAGCCATAAACTTGCACTGGAAGACATTCTGTGTCTCCTTAATTGAAATTATTTATAAAACTAATAATTTTGTACAAATATTCCAGCTTTCAATGCAATAAAAATTCTGTGAGAACATTCTTCCTTTGTCAGGGTCTTTATCATTTGCAAATACTTTTGGATTGATACGTTTCTTTATTTCTGCTATATACAACGAATAAAAAACATTTCTTGGAACATAATTCACTTTTCCAATTTAAATCAGATAACCAGAGATATTTCTAAACTACTTACTAATTGCCTGAAGAATAAAAATCTTCAATTTGTGTTAAACTTTCATAAAGTTCTAAAGAGTTCATAAGCTAAAATTACTACTAACCTGTCCATCATCACCTCGAACACACTACTGATTTCTGTGACATTGTGGAGAAGCACAGTGGACCGCAGTATGCCTGGTTGCCTAGAAGTGTCACATTCATCTGTTAAAACAATTGCACCCAAACAAAAACACCACAGGAATGTCCAGCCGTCACACTACTCAGGGGTGACCTTGTGTCGCAACCCCCTCAAAACAGCAAGGGTTATTTCTGGCACAAGAAATCACATAAGAAAACATATCCACACAACAGCTGGTGTCAGTAGAAACAAAAGTTAATTTTTCAGTTAGGCAAAAACAAAACACGTGAGAAATTAAAAGACCTAGTCTTCAGGGTTTCCAAGGTCAAAATAATAGAGCAAAACACCTCTTAACTACGAAATAAAGTACTACTATAAATAAACAAAACTCTACCAAGGCTGCACTTTAATTGGCTTTCCACACAACAGAAGATAAAAATGCTAGAGAACCCCAACCAGCTTCCACTGTGAATCAAACAAACAGTTCCTTTGTAGTTACAATTATTCTCACAATAATATTCACAATAGGCTGCTCAAGCACACAGATAAGATCAATTCCCACACAAAAGGGAGCTGACACTGTGAGAGCGACCTTTTTATGCAGAGGTTGACGAGCCGCAACACGTCTCACCCAAGGCAATGTTAAAAAAGAGGAGCAAGCTCTCTCATGAAGAAAGCCCCCGGAGGTCAGTGACCTCAGCATGTTCCAGTGCAAGATGAACATAAAAGGCCCAGAACAAAGACTTTTGGAACAATGGTGGTTGACTTTGGCAACCCAGCCCCATTATTCACCGTGTAGCAAGTATTGCTTTGACTTGGGATAAAAAAATTATTCAGAAAAATGGAAAAGATTACTCCAAAAGTGACAAAAAAGAAGCCAAAATACAGTTTGTAAATAGGTATCCTGAGGTTGATGACGAAATTCACACTGAAGTGTTTGGTCGTACCCATCATTGGTAAATGTTGAGAAAAAAAGGGGGGAAATTGTAAGCTTGTGTATGTTGTCTTCACTGTCAAGTGAAGACAATGTGGTGGCCGCATCATGTTGTGGAAATTCGTGGAGTTCATAAAAGCAGAACATTCCATGGAAACACTGAAGCAAGACATTATTTAGAAAAACTTAGATGAGACAAAATGAAGATATTCAGTGAGAAGCAGCTGAATGGATATGAATATACATTGATGATGTTAGACGAGCGTGCCAGACTAGTCAAAATGACAGAAAGACAAATAATTAAGCAATGTGGAATTACATTTGTAAACACACAACACACTGAATCTTGAAGGTCTGTCAGCAAACTGTGACACCAAGCACTCTTGTCAAGTAGCAACAGGAAAGTGAGACAATTCACACAGACTCACCAAAATCGGACAATGACAAATAGGAAATATGTTTCCTTATCGAATGAGTCTCAATTTCAGCTGCGGCACTCAGACAATAGACACAGAATATTAAAATGGCATGAATCCATACTGCTTCGTGTGGATTGTGTGGAAAGAAAAAGCTAAATCTTCCATGCACAAACATAAGTTTTGTCTGACCCTTACTGGTTAAAATATTACATTTTCCAATGTCTTATTATAAGATTCTGTCCTTCGGATTTAATTTGGGTGAATGTGTGTTCAGCACCTTGCTTTTCCCTCTTTGTGGCGACATCAAATCTATGATTGATATTGAGCTGGCAGGAGAGCGTAAACAGATGGCTCATTTTGTCTTCATAGACACAGACTCCCCAAACCAGATTCAGTCAAGCTGCGCAGGAAACTAATTACCTGTTACAGAAATCCATGCTGCAAAGTTAATGAATGTGTATTTTTTTTCATTTGAACTATAAGAGAATTTTACTTCAGATTATAATTGTCCCTCAAAGTCAAAGAGGGAACGCTAATATTACAGAAAACCAAAATGGCTTCATGAGCACTTGGTACCAAGCTTGTATTTTGAAACTGTTTGTCAAGTTTTCTTCTTAATTTAACTCTGAACACAGCTGGGATGTGCACAGCCAAAGCTCTGAAAAGGCAGTGGAGGCATTTGATGACTGGAAAAAAGATGAAAGACTATGGTAATTAAATATTTTTTAGCATGGAGGATTTTTGTTCCGGAGGTTTCTATGGGACTGGATGAGAAAGTCTGTCCAGAAATGAAAAACCTGTACAAATTTATCTCAGTAAATTATCATGACAGTGTTCATTTATTTCATTCTAATAGGCTTGTTCATTATAAGGCGGCATATTCCTGATATTTATTTGCTTTGTGTGTGCAAGATTATGGATTATGGCAAAAGAAAACATGAAAAAGTTTAAGAAAATCAAAATATTACAGAAGTCCATTAACCTTTTAATTTTATCACAAAAATATTGATTTACTGAAAAAATGTCTATGTGCTGCACAATATATTTACTATATTTGGAGCTCCTCCTGCAATCAAGGCATGTAAGGCAATGCAATCTTTATTTTCAGGTTAAAAACTGACCATTTTTATAAGACAACAATAAACTACTGGTTCCATACACCAGCCCTCTTTTTGGCCCTGGTAATATTTTTCTGACGTTGTCTCTGTTTCAGGAGTGGTTTACTTTCCAAACTTTTCTACACTGGGGACTTCAACTCTTTGAATAAGTTAAAATTGGGGAACAATGACAACATAAACAGCAACAACAGCTAATAAATGGGTCAATGTTGTCAATGCTTTTATCTATTCTAAAGTTACGCCAAACTATAAGAATGTTAAAAGTAACAATATGCTTTACTTTAGTCATCTTTATTATTTAGGTTGATCTTTGCATCTTGGCACTTCACAATTACAAAGTGGTGACCCAAACTGGGGTCTCCACCCAGATTTTGGGTTCCACTGGCTTAACTCAAGTAACGTGCTAGTTGTTGCCCATTCCTGGAAATTTCTGGTAATTCTTGAAGCACTAACTCCACGCCTTGCGAGTCTTCTTCCATCCCACCCTTTTTTCTTCCAATAAACTCCACATTATTATGCTTTGGGACAGCACGCTCTGTGCAGCCAGCTTCTTTAACAATGACTGAGTATGTCAATGACCGCCGACTGGATAGACGTGAAGCCATGTGCGCTGCAAATTACCTCAGGCTTTAAATGTTACAGTTCTTGGTATTATGTGTACTTAACAATTGTACCCATTCAAATAAGCTATTACCAGACAGAGCAGTTTTTACCCGTCTTATAACTGATACTGATACCTATCAGAACAAAATTTAAAGATTTATGCCCCTCTGCATGAATCTTTAAATTTTTCTCCAGAAAATGATTTCTCATTGATGACATATACAAGAGAAATGTCTAAGTCGCGAGTGACAGGGCTGAAATGTTATCAGAAAAAAAGCTGTATGTAGTAAGTCAATTTCTTTCTTTCCTACTTTTTCCTCCTTGCACTGCTTTGTTAAACAGATACTAGGAACTAACAAAAGCCTGTGTTTATCATCATCAAATGTGCGCACGTCTCCCCCTAGTGTTTAAACACCACAATGATTTCTGAGGCTTAATAAAATTGCAGCTTAATTAAATCTGCCTGTGTATTTTCATGATACAGACTGAGAAAATTTAAAATGTTTTTTTTTTTTTGTCAAGCAAAAAGTGCATTGAAAAGGTGAAAAGTGCATAAGAAACAAGCAATTACAAATAAGCAATTACTATTCATTCTTTACGACAGAATATAACAGAGTTCCACCCACCAACAACATAAAAAGGCGTAATGAGGATTATGGTGCCAAATCAATAAAAAAAGATCTCTTGAATGGAAGTTAAGCTTCGTGGTACTAAAACCATTTACCAGAAGACTTTTCAACACACTGGGTTTCCAGAAATAATAGCTGGGTAAAACATCTTACATTTTATTGTAGGAAGAAATAATAGAAATAAATCTCAAAAAGCATCCAATAACAAAGAAAATGTGTTATTGTTGTTTATTTTAAATAAACAACAAAAGTATAAAATAATGCTGGCTACATAAAGGAACTTAAGAAAACTCCTGACTCTAAAAAAAAAAAAAAAAAAAAATTCCCTTCTCATCCACCGCGGGTGGTTCTTATCCTCTGAGCTCGGGTCCTCTACCAGAGGCCTGGGAGCTTGAGGGTTCTGCGCAGTATCTTGGCTGTGCCAAGGACTGCACATTTCTGGACTGAGATGTCTGATGTTGTTCCTGGGATCTGTTGTAGCCACTGCTCCAGTTTGGGGGTTACTGCCCCGAGGGCCCGATGACCACAGGCACCACTGTGGTCTTCACCTTCCAGGCCCTCTCCAGTTCTTCCCTGAGGCCCTGGTATTTCTCCAGTTTCTCGTGCTCCTTTTTCCTGATGTTGCAATCACTTGGTATTGCTACATCAACCACAACGGCTTTCCTCTGATGTTTATCCACTACGACAATGTCTGGTTGGTTCGCCATTACCATTTTGTCTGTCTGGATCTGGAAGTCCCACAGGATCTTAGCTCTGGCGTTCTCCACCACCTTTGGGGGTGTTTCCCACTTTGATCTCGGGGTTTCCAGTCCATATTCTGCACAGATGTTTCTGTACACTATGCCTGCCACTTGGTTATGTCGCTCCATGTACGCTTTCCCTGCCAGTATCTTGCACCCTGCTATGATGTGCTGGACTGTCTCAGGGGCCTCCTTGCACAACCTACACCTTGGGTCTTGTCTGGTGTGGTAGATCTGGGCCTCTATTGCTCTGGTGTTTAGGGCCTGTTCCTGGGCAGCCAGGATGAGGGCCTCTGTGCTGTCCTTGAGTCCAGCTTTTTCCAGCCATTGGTAGGATTTACTGATATCAGCCACTTGGGTTATTTGCTGGTGGTACATCCCATGTAGGGGATTGTAGATGAGTTGTAGATCAGCTCATTGGTTTCTGTTATGGTGTTGGTAGGGATCGTTCTCAATGCTGCATTCACATTCTCAATGAGACTTTCTGATGGTACTTCACTCAGCCGTTGTAATTGGCGCCGAGGAGGCCTGGTTGTCATTCGGGTCATGATTCTCTCTCTCAGGTCAGCAGCTGTCTCGTTCAGCTCTGTTTCGCTCATTGGGGCCGTGTATACCCTCACTGGGTGGGGACTTGTAGTTAAGTCCCCACAGTCCTGACATCCGGGTTCCTCCCTTTTGCCGTAGCATTTGTGTTGTATCTCGTCAATCTCAAGTTGTGATAGCAGTTGCCGTTTGCGGATGTTGGAACACTGAGTTACTAGTTGTTTAGCACTTAGTGTTGACTGGGGATGTCGAAGTAACCATTCCTTCCCCAGTCTTTGCATGTAACCTCTCTCACTAGGGTTACTTGAGTAGTAGCATTCCAACAGATCCATATATCCATATATATATCCATATATATATATATATATATATTATATATATATATATATATATATATATATATATATATATATATATATATATATGTATATATATATATATATATACATATATATATATATATATATATATTTTTTTTTTTTTATTTATTTATTTATTTTTTTTATTATTTTTTTTTTTTTACTGCAAACTGACAGACCTTATAACTTTCTATAATTTTCTGTATTAGGCTTCTTTAGTGAAGTCTGAAATTCTCTGATCACATTATGATTCTGATCAGAGAAATGCAGCAAAGAAATTTGATAAACACATATTTGTATTTTATTTAATACATTGTACAAACCACAAGGCTTTTCTAGAAATAAGAATTCAAATGCAAACGTGAAATTACGGTGAAGAACAGAAAAATAACAGAAGCCGAGACTCTTTTTTATTATTATACTCTGTTGAAAGGTTTCTTAGCATTAGGAATCACCACTAATTTACGGATTTCACATTAAATATTAAATCGTTACAAAAAGCACATTTAGAAGACTTTTTTACATCTGAATTTTGTAAATATGTTTAAAAAATGAATTAAGAGAAAAAACTAACATGGTACAGAAGGGCAGTTAAGCCTGATATTCCTCCGCACTTCTGTGTAATACGTCCTCCTCTAAAAACAATAGTCCACAAAATGATAAAGACTTCAGATTATTACTCGGGTCTAATTGAGGACAACTACCCGGTGAAAACTGGTACTTGATTCTGATGGCTTTGTTTAATTTGCAAATCTCAGAAAGTGCCTTTGGAAACAAAAACAATAAACAAGATCCGGTTGCAAAGACAGGAAGCGAGGAGATACTCATGGCGCCCGACTAGAAAGAATCGACTATTATCGGTTGCTATGTTGTGATCCACTCGGCGCCTCTACGCTACAGGATACTCGTCTCCTCAAAAATAGAAGGTAAGAAAAAAGAGCAACAATTCTGATGTCGGGAAAGGAAAATGTTTTAATTTTCTTCAGGGAGGGTATTTGGGCGGTCTGTCGCGGCTCAGGCCCTCGAGGTCCCCGGGCCAGGAGAGCTCACAGAATGCCTGAGTGGAAAAGACTAGAAGTGCTGTTTAATGGCGACGCGCAGCAGGCAGGGTGTAGGACAGCTAGGCCTGCTTAAAGCTGCTAACCTTCGCCGCAGTTTGAGTCAGATTAGCTTTGTGCTGGGATAACGTTGTGGTTTTTATGTTTGGGACGGCTTTACGTTTGCCCAGCGTCAGCCTTACAACATTAGAAACAGGGCCTGTTTTTGTTAGGGCATATTAAAACGCATTCCAGTAGTTTCATCGACCCAACACAATGCTAATCCGTTAGCTTCCATGTTCACTTGTTAGCTTATGTCTCTGGATAAGCAAATCAACAGTAACCAAGAAGGCTTATCCTGAATCATGATCAATGCAAATCACGTTTATCCCCCAAAATGCACGTTTATTAAAAACGCTGGGATCTGTAAGGAGAAAGGTGCTAAGTTGGACGTATGATAAAGGAGAAACGCAAGTATAATAGTCGACACTTGAGTACCAAAGTAATTCCTCCAAAACATAAGATTGACGCTGAAAACAAAAAGGAGACGCGTCATTCTTTGGTGTTTCTTCCCCTTTCCTGTTAAAATAAATGTACCGAAGACAAACTTATTTAAATCTCCTTCGATTGGGTCACGTTTGTTAGGAAATGAGTTTGTTATGCCCATTAAAAAAACACGTGAAATCCCGTCGACAAACAGCTTTAGGTGGGAAACAAGGCTTGATGCAATTGGAGTCAATCTCATTGAGAGAGATAAAGATGAAATGCTGCAACCAGAGGCAGTCCCATATCCAGTGCTTATTACAAAGTAGGCTGGCAAAATAATGGGTTATAGCTATGCACAATCACAGTGGTGCACATCACTAATATATTTACAACTGAGTCATCATATAAATGATGTTGACATGGCCTTGCAAGGCAACACTCAAAATCATTTGTTGATTTTAATAGAAACACTTGAGGCCAAAATGCTATTAAAATGTGTTATGAATATTTGTAATACATGAAACAGAAAGACACGAGTCAATGTTTTCTTCACCATTTTTATTTGGTTTAATTGCCTCAAACTGATAGAATACTGAAATAAACACCGATCATTTTTATGTTAAAAAAAATCAGAGTTACGTCACATGAGCTTTTAGGGTCATCTTACCCGCCACTATTACCTGCCAGTTACTTTTTTATATTTTAAGACTTAGTTGCTTGATGGCAACTAAACATCGCTTAGATGTATGCACCTTGAAACTGTACCCTTGTCCCTAGTGGCGTGCTGGGGCCTATTTCCAGCTAACTTTCACCCTGGACAGGTGGCCAGACACAGAAAGGGCAAACAATCATGCACACACACAATCACACTTTGGGAGAATTTAGAGAAACCAATTAACCGTGGGAGGAAGCCAGAGAACCCAGAGACTCACGCATGCACAAAAAGACCCCGGGCCGAGAATTGAACCCAGGACCTTCTTGGTGCAAAGCAACAGTGCTACCAACAGTGCTACTACTGCACACTTATGTTTGTATGTTTTATATTTTAAACATGTTTTGAAGATGAAACTTTGACCTAATTTATTTTATTCTTTTTTGTAGTTATGGATTCGGAGGAGAATGAGGTGGAAAGCAGCAGCGATGCAGGCCCATCGGGGATGGAGGAGCCGTCTGAAAGCGGCATGGGCATGGAATCATCTGAGGCGATGTCCGCAGACAGCAGCGATGCTGCTGCCTCCCATGCGCAGGCCCCAGAATCAGACTGTCATGTGGGACAGAGCTCAGAAGGACTCATGGTGAGTTTTTATGAATGTCCTCTTTTGGAAGACAACTTGAATTTAATTACACCATTGGAAGACAACATGCTGCTTCCACTTGTTTTCCAGGTGTTCATCCCAGAGACCAGCTCCAGCACAGATGTCAGAGTTTCTTCAGTTCATCTTCCTGACTCGTCTTCCGTGGCTCAGTCCACCAGCGTGTCTAGTGTCTCCACAGTGACCCAGTCAGTGCTGGTGTCTGAATCGGCTCAAGTTCTGGTCCACTCCAGTGCTGTGTCAGACGGAGCGATGATGGTTTCTGACTCCACTGCCTCTACCTCATCAGATCTGGGGTCTGCAATCGACAAGATCATAGAGTCCACCATCGGCCCCGATGTCATGAACGGTAATCCCAGTAATGCACACAAATGTGTAAAAGTTTGAGTACTTATTTTTCATAGTACAGTGAGTGATGTCTGCTTTGTTTTTAATTAAGGTTGTATAGCTGTCACCAGTGCAGAAGATGGAGGTGCAGAAACTACTCAGTATCTTGTTTTACAAGGACCAGATGACGGTAAGTGTGTCTCATCCATTAACCCACTTTAAATGTTATCATCGCTTTCATAAAATGTCTGTTTTCAGAGCAGGTATATTATCTTCCCCATCGTGTGGTGTTGTGCGACGTGAATGTAAAAGCATGAATTTCAGTAAAGCAATAAAGATTGTTTCTTTATGTACTCTACACCACTAAGAGAATGTTTTCAAATCCATCTTTGTTTCTTGCATGTTGCAGGGGCTCCTATGGTAGCCCAGATGTCATCTTCAGCCATGTCCAACCGTGGAGCCATTGAGGCTCATGCTGAAGGCCCCACGTCCACCTGCCAGGATCAGGGAGACCTGCAGGGCGTCCTTGAACCGGACCAGCCCGATGATCATCCGGGACACTCCGGTTACAGAGAAGAGAGCAGCAGCCAGCCCGACCAGCCCCAGCACTCCCATCCTTCCCAGTATTTGGACTGCAGCGCGGATGGCCCGGACCAGACTGAGGAGTCTTCATCGTCGTTTCTGGAGTGTTCGGGTGAGGAACCCGACCAGACTCGCTCCCAGACCGGCTTCCCTGACTACAGTGGTAACAACAGTGACCAGGACCTTCCTGGATACGTGGAATGCAGTGGAGCCGACTCAAACCCCACCAGCAGAAGCCGCTACGTGGTGGACTGCAGCTCCGGGTATCTCCAGCGTGTAGCAGATGCCAGAGAGCAGCCGCATCATTCACGCAGCTATATCGACAGCAGCGCTGACCACCGGACCCAGACCAGCCGACAGTACGCAGGAGAGTCTGGAGGGGAATGCGTTGCGGCTGCAGACTCTGAGCAGCCCGGCTGTTCGCGATATCAGACACGACATGACGATGACGACGACGATGAGCAGAACCAGGATCCAGATCAGCCACAGCACTCTCAGCAGCAGCCACAGCACTCCTGCTACACAGAGAATAGCAACGGCCCAGAGGCATCCCTCTATCATGATGATAGCTCCTCGTCAGACCACCCGCTTGCAGACACGGTGGGCACAGGCGGACTTCCTGAGGCGCTGGAATGCAACGAGAGTCAACCTGGTCTGTACATCAGTAGCAGTGGCACGTATGCATCTAATCAAGAACCTGAACCGGCCCAACAGAGCTCCCCGTGCCCAGAGGAGCCTCGGGGCTCCCAGGATGAACCGGGGTTCTCCAGAGACATGGACACGTCAGCTGCGCCTACGGGTTCAGGAGACCACCAGCCGAACTTGGCTGAGTTAGAGGAGATGATGGAGGTGGTGATTGTTCATCAATTCAAGTGCAAGATGTGTCCGTACAAAAGTATTTCCAAAGACACGCTCATTAACCACATGAGGGACAAACACTTTAAACCCGCCGGTAAGGATTCTGATGATGTATATAAACGAGAAAGTTGAATAGATAGTCACAATCATATTTTTATTCCTATTTACTGATTTTTGTTACTTTTTTGTTCAGGCGAAATACCAATGAAACGGAAACGTGGTCGACCTCCTAAAAGCGAGACATTAGCTCGTCAAAAAGCAGAGCGAGAAGAGGCAGAAAGGAGGAAAGCGGAAGAGGTGAAGGATTCTGTGAAGCAACCAGAAGAAGAAGAGGACGATATTGTGGATGCTGGCGCCATCGACGATCCAGAAGGTGAGTGGTGGGAAACATTTTCTTTAAACACTCAAACATATTTCCTTCCTCCATTGTTTAAGTTATATAACCAACATTTACAGCACTATGCAAAAGTATTCCTTAAATCTTTTCACATTTTGCATTTTATTGGGATTTTAGTATTAGGTAACGCAAAATAGCACATGATTGTAAAGAGGAAAGAAAAACATGATTTTCAAAGTCTTTCAAACTAATTCCTAGATGTTGTGGTGTGTGTTTGTATTTAGCTCAGTTGTTGCTCTGTCTGTTTATTTAGTTTATTCTCCTGCTGGAAGGTAAAGCAGCTCCTCCAGAGCTGCCATGATGCTGCTTCTCTAATAAATGCCATTCTTTCCCAACCTGTGACCTCAGGGATTATGTGTTTAAACTGAGATTAAATTACACACAGGTGTATTTGGCTTAACTCAGTCAAGCCATCTTTATTTGCCATTAAAAACAGGAAGCAAAAAACAAAGTGCTGAACATAAAAAAAACATTTGAAATAAAATACTTTTAAAATATCCACCCAGAAATAAAAGTATCAGTAAAAGACAAATTTAGGAAAACAATGAACTCATAATCTGTAGTAGATATGCGTTACCAAAATTCAAGTTAAAAGAGTTTTGTCTGAAGTGAATCTACATGTATTACTAAGTTAAAACCCACTTTTTCAATTTGTAAAACATATTAGATGCAACATATCAAATTCATTCAACCTTACAATAACGTGTTACATTTCGTTTCTTGTCATATAAAATCTCCATAAAATATACTAAAGTTTGTGATTATAATGTGACAAAGTACGAAAGAGTTGAAGTACTGAGGCAAATTTTGCAGAGCCTTACAATCTTAACGCTGCTCTTCTGTTTGTCTCCAGAGGACAGCGACTACAACCCTGTAGATCAGGAGATTAAAGGAAGACCTCCAGCTTTCCCGAAGAAACCACCCACTCCCATCTCCTCCTCATCTCAAGGGCGTCCCCGGCGAAAAGTCGGTCGCCCGAGGAAGTACAACGTTTCTGGTGAAGGGAACAGCAGCAAAGGTGAAATGTTGCTTTTATAACCCAAATTCAAACTTTTAGCTTGCAGTCGGTTCGTCCCTTATTCTACGTTGTTTGTCACAGAAGCAGAAAGCATCTCTAAGTGGCCCAGGCTCAGTGTGGATCCCTCTCCAGCTGAAGAGGCAAGCTCTTCTGGTTTGGGCCAAGGTCTGGGTAGAGAGATTAACGAGGACACAGCTGAGGCAGCGATCAGCCAATCTGACTCCGAGAACAAAGACCCTTCGTCAAACTCTCAACCAGAGGAGGAGTTCCTCCCGAGGAAACGGGGCCGACCTTCTAAGCGCTTCCTGCGCAAGAAATATAGGAAGTATATGAATCGCAAGTAAGCTCCAAAGTATTTAAATGTCGCCATGAGTGGCATAAAAATATTTTACGATAGATATATTAATGACTTATTCGGCTTCAATGTGTTCTAGTCGGTACTATAAATCACTCAAACCTCTGCTGCGGCCCCACAACTGCTGGATCTGCGGTTCGCGCTTCCTCACCCAGGAGGATCTGCGCTTTCACATCGACTCTCATGAAGGCAGTGACCCAGAGCTGTTTAAGTGCCTCCAGTGCAGCTACCGCTGCAAGCGCTGGTCTTCACTGAAGGTCAGTAGAAGCAAAGCAACTCGCAGCTTTCAGGCTCCATATCACTTTATTTGTAGGGTTTTTTTCTTCTGAAATGTATCACAAGAAGACCTTTTTTTCTTTTATGCAGGAGCACATGTTCAATCATGAAGGCACGAAGCCATTTAAATGTGAGGAGTGTGACTACTCAAGTGTTTACAAGAAAGATGTTATTCGACACTCTGCAGTTCACAGCAAAGAGAAGTGCGCAACTTATTTAACAAATATACACGTTTTCCCCATAATTTTTGAAATTACAACTAATAATATCTTTATGATCTTGCAGGAGAAGAAAAAAAGAGTTGGTGAGTAACATACAGCATCAGTAACAGTAGTTTGTCTCACAGTTCTTTCTGTTAGATGTAAAGCCAAATGTTGGGGTTCTTAAAGTTCCACACAGATTTCCCATAGAAGATTTCCTGACATCTTTGACAGTAACTTACTAAGAAATGTATATTTTCCCTGATCCAGCATAATAGATGTCGATTACTTTAAAAAAAAAAAAGGCTAAATGTTGAATTTCTTAAATTACTGTCCAATGAAAGAATAATGTACAAAGCACTTTTCACAAAATTCAGGCCACAAGCTAAGGATTATAAGCATAACAAGACATACATCATCTTCTTCACTAAATGGAAATAAAAATAAGTAACATAAATATAATTTAAGCCTTTTGACGCCCTGCAGGATGTACCGCCCTGGGCAGAAAGTCTCATTGCATATTTTCTGATTTGATGGGCAGATCTTTTTCTTTCTGTAGCCCTGTGTTAACTCTCACCAGCGTGTTTGTCGTTTTCATTCCTGCAGATTCCCAAGGTGTTAGAGTTCCCGTGCCCGGTGTGTGACAAGGTGTACCCGATGCAAAAGAGACTCACCCAACACATGAAAACTCACAGCTCTGAGAAGCCACACATGTGTGACAAGGTGTGGAGCCTTTTCCTATCAAATTCTGCTTTTACGTCACAGTCTACTGTGTGTAAAGAGAATTTCTTGAACCTTTATTGGGTTTTTTTGTAGTGCGGAAAATCCTTCAAGAAGAGGTACACATTCAAAATGCACTTATTGACCCACATCCAGAGTCTTGGAGACAAGTCAGTACTGAAAACTTTCCGTTCTCGTTCATTCTTTGGCATCTTTTCACAATGATAAAACATATATATATACTATACTTTTTGTAAATTTACATCTACATACATTTTCAAGGTTCAAGTGCGAGTTTTGTGACTATTCTTGTGAAAACAAGAAGCTGCTGCTCAACCATCAGCTCTCCCACACCAACGACAGGCCCTTCAGGTGTGACTACTGTAAATATTCCACGTCCAAAGAGGAGTTCCTGGTCTCACACATGGCCATCAAACACACAGGTTGGTGTTTGAGTCGAGATTTCATTGTGTCTCCATGTCTCCCCCCCCAAACTCGTTATACTGAGTCTGTACTCATGGTATTGTGTCTCTGCAGGGGAGAAGCCTTTCTCTTGTGATATGTGTCACTTCACCACCAAGCACAGGAAGAACCTGCGTCTCCATGTGCAATGCCGCCACCCAGAGGCCTTTGACGAGTGGTCTCTGGCTCACCCCGAGGAGCCAGTCAGAAGACGAAGGAAACCCTTCTTCACCCTGCAGCAGATAGAGGAGCTCAAACAACAGCATGACGACAACAATCCGACATTACAGAACACCATAGTGAGTCCATTTAAACTGTTTTATTAAACAGCACACATCGCTTTGCTGTTTATTCTATTTTGCTTTATTTTTTTTCCATCATCGTTCTTTAGATTACTGTGGATCCTGAGACACTACAGGCTATGCAGGGGATAGAAAATGCTTCAGTGACCCAGGATGCATTGGGAAATACAACTATAATCTATGAACATGGTCAGTTAATTATTTAGGAAGACATTTCTTTGATATTTTTTAACATGTTAACTTGACTTTTCCTAAATCTGTTCCTTAGCTGAGGCCAGTGGTCTGTCTGCTCAAAATGCCCTGGATCTGTTGCTGAACATGAGCAACGCTCGGGAAATTGTTGGAAACTCTTTACAGGTTTGTTGAAAATGGTCTTTTTAAGATATATTTATAGCAATTCTTAACAATGCTGGGCATGCCGTTTTAGAACTTTGCAAATTTTGTCAACATTTTTCTTTAAACAATGGTTTTCTACCTTCCACTCTTTCAGTAAGACCAAAATTCCTGAACCAAGACCTTTTTTTTAATGGGATCAGTTTTGCACAACTGATGTTGGTTCAATGTTGGTTCTTAAAAGCTCCTATCCAGTCAGTTACTGTGTTGGTAGGTGTCCAGTTGTTCTGTACTTAGAAATCTTGACATTATAAAGCGAGGGACAGAACTTGCTTGCTTTAAACTTCTCCACAACTCTGTCCTTTGTCCTCATGATGAAGTTTGTTCTCTAACAAACTTCTGGCATCTTCACAGAACAACCATAGACTCTTTAAGTCAATTCACCCTATACCTTTATCGTTCTTTTTCTGTCCACTTCATAATTATGTACTACTTTGTGTTGGTTAGTCACATAAGATACGTTAAAATTTGTGGCTGTAATGTGACAAAATGTGAAAGGGTTAATGGCCTAGTCATGGTTTTACAAAAATGTGCTAATATTTAAGGTATGTTTCACTCTTCATGCTTCACAGGTGGCAGTGCTGAAATCAGAAGGAAGTGAAGGGGGAGGCGAAGCAGTCGGTGGCCTGACCGTTGCGCCTGGGCAGGGTCAAAAGATCATGACCTTTCATGTGTCTGAGAACGGTGAAGCAGTGCTGCAGGAGGCCTACGAGGCAGCCGCCTCTGAAGCTGGGGAGCTTACCCACATCGCCATAGAAAGCTACGAGGATGGAGGCGAGTTCAGTGTTGTTGAAGAGCCTGCTGCTGAAGTCCACAGCCCCGCATTCAGGTGTCTAAACTTAGTGGAACACAAAGAATATGTTTTTTTGTTTTTAAGTTTGCATTATTCTGATAAGTGTTTTTAGGTTTTAATCCCATTAAAATGCTGTGTTTCAGCGTTGATGAAAGCAGTCAGGGTTTAGACGTCTCTGCATCAGAGAACCTGAAAAATGACAAGTACTATCTAACTTCAGCCCTGGCTGACGGTGTATTGCAGCAAGTAGAGGTAATGACCAGTATTTTTATTTGATGGGTGTGTCCAAACGTCGTTTCTAGTTTCACACATGAGTGCTTCGTCTCTCCTGATAGCTGAGCAGTGAAGATCCAGCCTCGCCCACAGCGACGAGCTCTCCCAACATCAAGCGATTTTGCTGCCGCATCTGCATGGAGTCATTCAACGGCCGCTCCGACATGGAGAACCACAAGAGGGCGCACTTGGATCCCAACACTTTTAAATGTCCCGACTGTGATTTCACCTCAACCTCCTGGCCTGAAGTGAAGGCAAGTCTCACAGCAGCAGCTTAATAAATTCATTTCTTTATCAGATATTTAATATAATTTTAATTGTTAATTTAAGCACCATTCAGTATCAAAGAGGAAAAACGTATTTGTCTCTTCTACACAACATCCTTAGTCTCACATGGGGATGCACTCCTACCTGCGCCCGCATAAATGTCCAAGTTGCAGCTTTGCCTCAAAGAATAAGAAAGATTTGCGTCGTCACATGATGACCCACACCAACGAGAAGCCGTTCGCTTGCAAACATTGTGGACAAAGGTTGGAAGTGAACTTTTTTTTTTTAAGTAAAATTTGAGAATGAGATGTGCCGAGCAGCTGTCCATGTGACTGGTTGTTTGTTTTGTTTTGTTTTTCTTTAAGGTTTAACCGTAATGGTCACCTGAAGTTCCACATGGAGCGTCTCCACAGTCAGGATCATCCCACTCGCAAAAGCCGCAGCAACGCATCTCAGCAAACGATCATTGTGAACAGTGACGAAGAGGCCTTAGCCACCCTGCAGTGTAAGCACAGAAAAAACTTGAAAAAAACACCCTTCCTTTGAAGAGGTGTGCATAAGACTGGCTTAATTCTGTCATAAGACCTTTTATGAACATGAAGGAGTCTTCATGCATGTCTATGACTGTTGTCATGAAGTATCATTCTGGAAATAATGTCACTTTAGTGCAAAGTTGACACTTTTAATGCACTTTCAATGGAAGTTTTCGTACAACTTTGCTTTGAAAGAGTTATTAATTACTGAATAATGCAAAGTTGAAAATTTTAATGAACTTATATTGCAGCTTTGCAATAAAAGTGTCATTATTTCCCAAATGACGCTTCATGACAACAGTTTTTAACATTCACGGGGATTCCTTCATGTTCATAACAGATGTTATGTCATGTTTATGACAGTCTTATGCAAGCCCCTTCCAATAAAGTGTCACCATAACTTGTATATTATATTGCACTGGTGTTGGTCAGTGTAAAAAATGTGTCATCTGGTTAAAAAAATAGAACCAGAAAACAAGATATTTAATCCCAGATCAAAGAGACATCAACATGATACTTCAGTGAATCTCTGTTGAGGTAGAGAAATCCCTGACATTGAACTGAAGGGCGATCAGAACTAATTGAACTAATTGACCAACATAATTGACTCTCTCTCTCTTTTTTTGTTTTGTTTTTTTGCTATTATTTAATATAAAACATAATACTACAATCTGATTATTTGTTTTTGCAATAGCCTTGCAGGCTCATCAGACAACGATCACTCCAGAGCGGTTGCAGGCGCTCAGTCAGGATCACATCATTGTATCTCAAGAGCAGCCGCTATCCGATCAGGTGACATCATCGGCAGTTCTAGTGTTAACGTTACAAAAATGAGAATTTACTTGTTTGAAAATGAGTTTTGCTTGTTGTTTGAATATATAAAAACATCAATTTCTATGTGCATTCGTCAGGACGAAGGGCCTTACATCCAGCAGATAACCACCATTGATGGTCAGACTGTTCAGCACCTGATGACTGCAGATAACCAGGTGACTGAAGTAAGAAACACTTTGCTGATTCATTGGGCTAATTTTTTTGGAGTTGTTTGACAAACTATGGGGAAAAAAGGCATTATAAATACTCAAAGACATGTATTTTGCTTGAAAATGTTCTTTCTGTAGTTCCTAAAATCACATCACAAAGTTTTAAGTACAGTTTTCTTGATGTTATGTCTCGCAGTTTTAATATGAAACTAAATGTCGCCTGCTCATGTATAAATCATTATGTATTTATAAAGCTTAAGCTGCATTGTTCGTATCATTTGTGTTTTTTTTCTTTTTCAGGTTCAGTACATCATCTCACAGGATGGAGTTGAACACTTAATTCCTCAGGAGTATGTTGTAGTTTCTGATGGTAACCAAATTCAGGTGAGTAATAATTCAGTTTCTCTCAGTTAGCCACTTTTCCCAATGAAAGCCTTCAATGTCTGAAGGTGTTTTTCTGCTGGGCAGGTGCCTGATGGACACATTATCCAATACGAGCATGAACAGCCGGTAAGGCAGACTTGATTTATTTTAAGCTTAATGTCGGTAAATTAAACTGATTAAAGGGACGTGGTTGATGCTGGATAATCTGCAGTGACACTTTTTTTTTTTTGCTATACATATATGTGCAGATTGCTGTAAGTCATGACGGGCAGATCCAGTACGTTCCTGTCAGCTCTCAAGCTCAGGAGGACATGGAAGCTGCAGCACATTCTGCTGTCACAGGTTTGCTTTGTGGGAAATTTTTTTAAAGATTGCATTAATTTATATACATGTCTCACATTTAATAATAATAATAAATATTCTGATCAGATACACAGCATCTTAAGAGTTCCCATGTGAATGATTGCAAATATAGAGAACCTAGCACCAATGTGAAGGCTTTCAGGAACCTCTGCTGCAATTTAAGCTGCATACATTACATGATGTTTCCTCAGGTTGTGCTGAATTTCCATGAATTTCCATATAAATATGTGAGGTTTGTAGATCTTCGCTATCAGCTTAAATTTTACTCAGGAGAAGAAAATGCCATTTATATTTGTAAGGCTGATTTTCTTTCAAATGCAGTCTAAAGGATTCATGCACACAAAATCTGACTGTTTTTTTAATTAATTATTTATTTATTTATTTTTCTCTTGAAGCTAAAATTGTTGCTTTTAGTTGGACAAAACTACTTTAAAATATACAATAAATTCTGTGAGCTTCTGTCACGTTTCTCTCCCTCCTTCCTCAACAGCCTCGAGTGGGATGCCAGCTTATTAATAATAATAATAAACACAACTTTTCTTCTTGCAGCTGTAGCGGACGCAGCCATGGGGCAGACCCAAACACTTTACACCGAGGCTACACCGGAGCAGCTGGAGCAGCTGCAGCAGCAGGGCATCTCCTATGACGTCATTACCTTCACCAACGAGTAGAGACGCACATGCGAGCTCAGAAAACCACGACCTCAACTCATTTATGCATCCATGCATTCACAAGGCTGCGAACTGAAGCCTTATCTGCAAAAGATTAACAGCTTGTGGAAAATAAATGCACATTTTCAGACTTGTTGCTTCTAAATTATTAATAGGGGCTGCACGTTTCAGAGTACATTTGAACAAGGTTTGTCTGTTTTGTGAGTTTAAGAACAGTGTTTGTGTGCCTGAGCTGCTTCAACTCGCAAGACAATGTTATCTAACATGTTTTAGAAAATTTCTTTTTTTTTTTAGTTTTGTGATTGAAATGAAGGACAAAAGGGAGTGTTTATTTTATATATGTATTAAGTTAATTGTGTAGTATTTTACAACTGAGTTATGGAATATTTATGTACATACATTTTTCATTAGTCTTTTGCTTTATTATGGATGATGTGTTTTGAGTTGGTAAGACATGTATCAAAAGTTAAAAGCTAACACCAAATAAATCGCTTTGTGTACACGTCTAGAGCTTTTCGTATGTGTTTATGAAACAGTTTTTGTTGCTGCTGGTGGGAGATTGTGGAAGCAGCAGAGATGCAGGCCCTTGCTATTTAGCAGATGTGAAATATTCTTGGTTTATAATACGAGAATTATCTAAAAGAAATTAAATCGACATTTTGAAGGGAAAAAAAAGCTACAAAAAAAAATGTCGTGTAAGACGTAAAGAAAATATCACACAAAGTGCTGATCAACCAATCAGAAGCAAAGTGCTTCTGAGCCAGGAGGCCCTAATGGTCTGTGGGTCCAACTTTTTTGTTCTCTGTCTGCTGATCAATTTGTTGTTGACATTTTCTCCTTTCCTCTAGACTTTTTTTCTCTGTGTTTATTTGTCTGCTGTATTTCACATTTTATTGAAAGCATTTGATATTTAATTGCAGCACATTTGACCTCGAGTATTACTACTACTACTAACACTGAAGTGGAAAATCTTCATATGAGAACTAGAAAAGTGAACGTTACCCTAATGCTAAATGCTAGATGTATGTTCTGGAGGAACATTTGCTGTTTCGGGGGATGTTTCAGTTTTTTCTATAATTCCAGGTAAATTTCCACACATATGATTCATCAGCAAGAGGCTGCAAAAAATATGCTGATCTTCATGTAAAATATTTCACACATCTGGGTGAAAAGGAGTCAAGCTATGAGTGATGTTTCAATCAGGAAATAATTTCTGTTACTTTCAAACAAAAAACGGAAGCTTAAGTTCCAGTTACAAATTTTTTTTTTATTTTTTTTTATAAAAATCTGCATTACTTGAGAGTGTGCTGGAAATCTCAGAGGACCTCCAGTCATATGTTTCAGTTTTTTTTCTGCTGATGAAAAAGTAACTTCCCTTTTCTTTCCTCTGAGGAGCTGCCTAAAATTGTCTCACAAGAGGGAAAAAACTCTTTACAGGCGCTGACACTTGGTGAAGATGAAGATTCTCATTATGCTGTTCTGCCTTTTGCAAGGTATGGCAAAGCAACAGTTTGGGATTTTCTCCTAATTAGATCTTACTGAAACACAAAAACTGACTTCTTGTTTTCCAGAGAACTGCCTCCTAAAAGCACAGCCGAGGACTGAGGAGGTTCAGCACATTGTGCTGAGACTCGTGTTTCCTCCATTTTACAACGGCTACAACAAGTCCTGCTGTAAACTGTATCCTGGCCAATGCTACAAAGTGCTGGACAGTGCAGGGTACACCTGTGATTCACTGAGGGGAAGAGTCACCACAACGAAGGAAGACGGGTGGATCGAGTTCAGGATTTCAAACGTGCAGGTCGGAGATGCTGGTTATTACAGATGTGCCGTTCTGGGAAGCCAGAACCGAATTTATTCCGACTATTATGTGGAGGTGTTTGGTAAGTAAACCTACATGTAAATATGTATACTCTAATATATAATTTCTTGATGTGCAAAGGAAGCTTTTTCCTTTGGGTCTTGCTCTAAATTCAGATGTCTGAACTGATGATTTTGCAGAAACCTCTGATCACTACAGCAAGTCTCAGTTTCCACTGACAACCACAGCAGTCATGGTCCCAAACAGCTTCACAACACTCCTGGCATCTACTGTACTGGTCCCAGTACAGGACTTCAGAGACAATGACAGGTCTGCAGCCTTTTCTTTGTGTTGCTATTGTTGTGACTTGTAAGGTATGACTGAATTTCAAACTCTGTCTCTCTTTCAGACCCTCCTGGAATTTTAGCATTCCGCTCTTGGTCACTGTGTCCATCGCAGCAATGATCTTTGTTGTATCTGTTGTTGTTGTTGCTGTTTGCTGTAAAGTCAAAGCAAAACGCAAAAAGTCAAGTAAGCATTTTCCTGAAAATCATTACACTTCTCCAATGTGACTGTCTGCCAGTCTGTCTGTTTAGTTGTTTTTTTTTTTATAGAAGGGCCAGCCAATGTAATGCTGTGTTGTTTTTATTCCTGTTTTGTAGACATATATGGAGAAGCTCTGTGTGAGTCACAGAAACAAGACGCTCCGGTAGGTGGGGAACTGGCAGCCAGCTGTGATTTTGACTCACTGCCTGGTTTACAAGGAGACATTGTTGTTTTGAACTTCCTCTACTCCAAAACCCCTGAATACACTTGGTCTCTTTCAGGAAATGAGTGGAATCGTCTATGCAACATTCGACTTTAAGCCTCGTCAGAAACCTGAGGTGGTGTATGCAAACCTGGAAGAGCACAGAACTGGGGAAAGCATCTCTCAAGCGGACAATGCCGGGACAGTGGAGTACTCCAGATTGGCAATCCAGCTGTGATCCGAATTGTCTTAGGGTCTAGTCCTCTAGAGCTGCAGTCCTGCAACTTTTATGTGCCTCTGCTCCAACACAGCAGAATCAAATGATTGGCTCATTACCAGGTCTCTGCAGAGCTGAATGAAACTTGGTGTGGATTTTCAGCTGTCTGATTTAGGCGTCTGAAAGTGGCAGGATGGTAGGTGTTCAGGACTGGACTTTGGCACTGCCAACTTGAATAGTTTGATATTTTTTTACAAACTTATATGTGTTTATTAGTATTGAGATAGACCAACAGAAAGTAATGCGTAATTGTGAAGATGAAGGTAAACAATAAACATTGTTAAGACATTTTTTAAACTCAGACTCTGAGCTGTGGTTTACATTGATATTCTACCTCCCCAACTTAACACTCTACACAACCAGCTTTTGGTTCAGGTATCTCTGTAAATCTTAGGGTGCCTCTTTAATTATTTGATTTTTAGTTAAGGTTGCAGTGAGTAACCATTCATTTTCATTTTGCAGTCATGGACTACGTTGTGCTGGTCTATCAAATAAAAGTAATTGAAGAGTGGAGGACAGGAATACAGCAAAAGCTGTTTGCTCAAGTTTATTGGTATTTTTTACAGTAAAAGCCCAAATCTCACATGTAAACTAGAAAACATTTAAAAGGAAACAGGATTCTCCCAGCATGGTCCCAGTGCTCCCAGAACATCAGCTGAGGCATCTGCTCTTGCTTCGTCATGTTGTCCGATTCAAACAGTCAGCGGTAAAAGACGATCCCACCTGTCGCCATGCTGCATGTGAGCCATGCAGGGGGAGGAAGGGCTCGGGCTGCCTAATTTCAACTTCCTGGCTCAGCAGAAAAATGCTGCCCACTTGCACTCTGTCAGTCAAAGTTCAACAGACCACCGGGTCATGCCAGCTGGAAATCTTTAGTGTATGCAAAGTGTATTTACACTTTGCATTTTGTTCCAGGGGGGTTTGATGACCTAAATCTTGCTCCTGGCTAGATATTCAGCCATGCTGTCAGCACCAGTTTAATTGTACAACAAATGATATTTTTTAGATTCTTGGCAAGTTATTTTCTAAATTCCATTCCTTAAAGGGACAGTACGTCTTATGTTTTTTTTTCCCAGCCACATAGTAACACAGTAACACAATCAAATTAACTATGTTACTTTTAGTAAAGTAAAAATGTTACATATATCAAGTATGACTTTAAAGACATTTGACTTTGTAATTTAATGCCTTGAAACTGTACCTCTGTCTCTTTAAGAAACTCCTACTCTTGTCATCACAACATTGCTCCTCCACTTTCCACTGAACATTTGTTGTTGTTTTTTTTACCAGTGTTTCATAGAGAAGTAGCTCGTATAATGAGTTCAGGAGATGTGCAGTGGCACCAGGTCTTTGCTAACAGCTGCTGGCTAGTCTGAAGGAGATATGGGTGAGTCAGTGTTGGAGAGGTGGCAGCTCTGAGAGGCGGATGCTTGGAAGATTGAAAACTAACCCCAAGGAGGAGCTGCACCTCGAAGGCGGCGCTCAGACCCACCAAGAGTTTTGCGCAGCTGAATGGTTGCCACGGGAGATTAAAGGATTTCACAAACATGCATGAAAGAATTAATGCAACACTTCAGGAATGTTATTGCTGAGGGAATAATGTCAAAGCATAATGCAAATCTCAATAGGATCAATTTTACATAGTACTTCCCCTTCAAAAGCTAGACATGGTAAACTTTAAGCCTCAGATTTTCTCATGGAAACACTCAACAAGCATTAAGCAAACTTGAATATGGCACAGATTAACTTTCAAAAATAGGAAGAAATTGCAACATTTTCTCCATTGTTCAGTGAAGAGTCTGAGCATCTGCACTCAGACATGCTCATCACCGCATCAATCATCAAATCAGTACTGATGCTTTAAGTGCAATTTCATTGTGATTATCTTTTGATTCCTTTCTAAGATAACAAAATTTGTTATTTTGTTATTTACTTTTTTAAGTCTTCAACACATTTGAACAGGTTGTAAGAAAATTTGCACATCAGTTGGGGGAGACAGGGACAGATGTGCTCTTGCCTCATCCCACTGTACGGCACCTGAAAGAGGGGAAAAAGAGAAGAATTGAGAGGAGGAGATGGGCTAATCTGACATTTTAATCTTTAATCTTTTAAGCATGTGGAGATGCTTCAAAGCGTCTTTTACTGAACCGCAGAGGTGGATTCAGTCCTTGCTGAGCAAACTGTTCACTCGTCTAGATCATCAAAAAGATACATGACTGTAATCGCCTCATTCGGTGTGGACAAGATCAATCGCCTCTGCAGTTATTAGCAGCTTTTACAACACTCCAGCCAACACTTGATATCTAAATTATCTAAGAATCTAAATCTCTCACTGCAAGTGTGGGATGCATGTGTGACAGGTTCAGTGTGTGTGAGACTGATGCTGGAAGATGACTGAAATGATAAAGTATTCATGCATCTTGAGTGTTTGATTTGCGACATCGCTGCCTCCTCAAATAGTGACGTCTTTAGATGAAATTTAAAAAATAGTAATCATCATCTTGAAGTGCTTCAAGATCTTTGGTTTTTCAAGACAAAATAAAAATGTTGTTGCCATTACAGCTACAAGTATGCCAGAATTGGCATGCATTACAGCTGCATACATGTTGAGATGAAGTCACACACCAGCATACTTTTGCTTTACTTCCACCTGAACTAGTCTTTGTTGGTCTGTTACATAACATCCCAGTGAAACACACTGAACTTTATATTTGTTGTAGTTGTAGTTGCTATATTTGGATCCACCTTGAAGCTGAGTGGATGGCATTCATCCCCTTCCCCTCCTTGTGAGATGCACATCCTCTGATTGCTCTTCCACAGACTAATGGCACAGCATTCAAGATGACCACACTGCTCGTCTTTTTCACAGGTCTGCAGGACAAGCAGAAGGACAATGAGGCAGCAATTCAAACAGCAACTTTTTTCTTATTGAAACAGTAATAGTATATGAAAGAACAAATGCAAAGTGATTATAAATTCATCTCATTATTGCAATGGAAGCACGCTACAATGACTTCACATACAGCGACATTTTAAATTCAATTATGTGTCATCTTCATAGTTGAATTATACTGAAAATGACACATGCTTGGGACATTCAGATGATTTCCTTTTGGATTTTTTCTAAAGACAGAAGCAGAGGAGGGTGTGGTCTTCTGTCAGTCCTGTAATTCAATAAAACATAATTATCCAGAAGCACAACCTGTTCAATTAGGCTTTAACATCTGGCACAAAGTTTTTTTATATTAACAAAAATTTTTTTTTATACGTTTCAAACAAAAGACACGTAACTGGTGGGACGCGTTGTGTTATCAGCTACTTACATTTTAAATGTCAAACAACAAATGCATCAGTGACTATGTATAATTACTGAAGAGGTTTCTCTTAGCAACAGTTTACATTCCTTAAAAGTAAATTATTTTCAATCTGATAAAAAAACCAAACTGTTTTAAAATTAAGATATTTCAATATCACCAAAAAATAAAAATAAAACTATTACAGAGACACCTTTCTACTGAAAACTCATTTGACAGAATCAAAAAACAAAAAACAAAACCCATAGCAAATATTTAATAACATTTATATTTTCATCCAAAGTCCAAAAAGATTTTATTACAAACTAATGACAGCCTCCAAGTTTCCCACTCACCAATGGGGCCACAGATCCTCTGGACAAGTTCACAGTCACCAGCAGGAAGGACAGGAAAACGGCACGAATGTCCATGGCAGCAGCAACAGAGATTCTCTGAAATGTTCACAGAGCGTCTGCAGCGCTTTACACTGGCAGGTTCAGACCCTTCAGGCAGTGATGAAGGGTTGCAGAACTCCTCAGAAACAGAGAGGATGCTCACTCTCTCGTTCTCTTTATCCAGCTGCAGCCTCCACCCCAACCAATACCCAACTCTCTACGTCTGACATTTCCCCACACCCTCCCTTTGTCATCTCAGTCTTCTGGAAGATGACGGTTCTCCTCACGATTCCTGTGCTTGTAAATTTCTGCCTCCCGCTTGAGATGGCTAACGCTCAAATAAACTCCAAACCTCATCGCTGCAAATTTAAGAAAATGTGTACAGATTACATAAAAGTCAGAGTATTTTCTCAAGTTAAAAAGCAGACAAAACAAGTTAGAAGTGAAAGAGCGCAACAATGGTTAAACAAAGGGCTGGACGTCACGTAAACATATTTTCAGACAAGTATCTAAAAATGTAGCAAGGACATGTGTTCAGTCCTTTTGAGTAGATACTTTACAGAGGAACTGTTGCAAGTCTTTCAGGCCTCCATCTGCAGACCATGAGATTGGATTGTAATAGTGTAATAAATAATGCTCAGTAACTGAGAACGTCTGTTTTATCATTTCATGGGAGAGGTGAAACTGTTTGTGCCTGTTTTGATCATTTTTATCTTGCTCATATGCACACGGCCATCTCTTAACCTCCATGACTGAGGAAATCAGCTAAGGCCGGTTCAGTCACATATAATCATGAACACAAGTGTAGAAAACATTTATCTTAGCAGCAGATAAATGCACAGATGTGTCGCTGTTTCTTTGCCTCTATAGGCTCCACCCTTAAGATAACCTAAGATGAAGCCTAGTGCTGTGAACCGAAGACTGTTTCTCTGATTTTCACTCATTTAATGGTCAACTTTATCTCCTAATACAAGTCTCATCGTTGAGAGTGAATCATATTGTCTGCTGTGAAATTAAAGATATATATACTTATAAACCTAAGAGTGATGAGAGTTCAAATTTACTAAATATAAATAAATAAACAAACAAACAAATAAACAAATAAATAAAAATAGAAAGTGTTTTTTAATAACATTTCATAGCGTTCCTCTCCTAATCGTCCAGATTTTTGTTCAATTTTATTTTATTTCTTTGTTTTCCTGAATTGTTTTTGGATCTTCACGCAATCGCGCTTCGTGCGTTTTGGTCCTCGTGAGGACTCTTAGGGCAAGTGACAGTCAGCTGACTCGATCCGGAAACGTTCCACTAGGAGGACAACAACTAAAAGAGGTTTCCATCCAGAAAACGGACCTTTCTGTCATTTACAGACATTTATCGATGGAGTCGACGCTTGAACAACATCTCGATGACACGTGAGTTTCGGTAACTTCGTTTGTCTTCCACAGCCTTGGAGAACGATGTTGACTTTTGCCTCTGTGTTTTTGTGTTTCAGCATGAAGAATCCAGCTGTGGTCGGAGTCCTCTGCACAGACCAGCAGGGACACAGTCTGGGCTGTAAGAGTCTAATTTTAATCCAGTTTATGGGATAATCGAAAGCTTTTTGGGATCAATAAATATCCTCCGCATTTATCAATAAGTCACAGAATTGTTGCGGTCATAAGAGATAAGTTGGAGGGGCCTAAAAGTAACATGGCCACAACTTTTCCCCATTTATTATTTTGCCTGGTTTGCTTTGTGAGTCTTTAAAAAATGGAAGAAGATGAAGAAAAGGGGTGAAAGAGATTCCCACTAAATTTCTAATTGACGATCTCAAATTGATGAGGATTAAATTGGAGAGAAAAAGAAGAGAACTTATACACTGTAACTTGTGTCGTCATCAGAAGATTTTCATCATCGCAAGACTTTCTACTATATGGCAGCACTAATATATATGAATGGGCTGGATTAACCATGCTTTTCTGTAAATGAACTGGGTCTGTTTGTTTTGTAAGGTACCTTTAGATGGCATTTGTTATGAGTCAGTATTGCAAACATAAACAGAAATGTCATTAATTTCTAGAACTACAAAAATTGTTAACTGACAACTTGAAGCAGCAACCACCTTCAGAGATCTGGTCTATTTATAGTTTGTGTCTTTATTGATCGGGACTGTTTTAGAGACCAAAAGAGAATCATTATTAAGTGTATCATCAAATCTTTAAAAATTATGCAGTTATTCTACAATAATGATTTTGTTGCTGCAATTGGAGCATGACACTGTCTGTCAGATTCAGCTGGTTAGTCTCTTTTTCTGTGGTTGTGGGTGAACTTTAACATTTAAAATCTTCATATTAGACTGTCTTTAGCTGTTTTTGATTACTAATTGATATGTTTCTACACCAAATTTGGGCTGCAGAGAGGAAGAGGGAGTACATTTGCTATTGTTTGTCCAAGATGGTGGAGTGATACATGTCTGTTAGGTGATTCATCACCATTGTTCTAGTCGCTCTTCCACTTTTCCCCAAAGAGAGGTGACCCTTTTTTTCTGTAAATGTAAGTAAAGCATACAAAGATAATGTAGAATTTTTCTCACTCTGGCATTTGGGTTGTTTGCAAGCGTAATCCCATCAACAGGTTTTTTTTTTTCATTTAAAATTGTCTCCAACTTGCTAACATCCGATTTGACCAAATTAATATCGGCCGATTTCGATTTAACCGTGATTGGTGCATCTGTAATCACAAGTTGCACATCCGTTTCTTGCTGATAATGACAAATGAACAAGAGCTAAAGATGGCTGACTTTACTGAAACCAAGTACTCAGCAATGCTCATAAGCTTCACCACCGTCCTGTTTTTATTTCCAGGTCGTGGGTCCTTGTCCGATGAACACGGTGGTGTTGTGTCGGTTTTGGCCAAACAAGCTGCAGCTCTCCTCAAAGACCCGACAGACTCCCCGACCGTCTGCCTGGAGTCTGACTCGGGGTGAGAAACGGACACCGTTTCGGCTTCACTTGTATTTTCTGTCCATTTTATATCTGCAATCTGTCTTGGGGAAGCCTGTGCTGGCTTTGATTAATGCTTGAGGAAATCAAAAAGTCAAGAGGAAGCTGGTAGAAGAAGGTTTCCTGGTTTGTGAGGGGCGACAGTCCATCCAGTTGTTCTGCGGTATTGTATTTTAGTGACTGCTGCCACCTGCTGGTGCATGTGAAGCTAATGTTTCTCAATGAAACGGTGGAAAGTACTTCATGTCCTTAAAACTTGGCAGCCATGTGCATATGTACTTTAACTTTATCCAACATCTATGTGTAGCTGGAGTGAAATGTTTGATTTAAAAATAAATCAAACATTTATTTTTTAAATCAAAAATAAATACTTTATTTGTAAATACAGCTTAACTCCAGTACATTCGCAGTACATGCGAATTATAATTGCAGTGCAATCATTTTAGTACCCAAATCAGAAAAACAACATGTTTTAAATATATGTTTTATTTACTGCAAGTCGTACAGTTCCATTATTGTTGCATATTACACATTTTCCCAATATTGTACAGACTTGTATCAGCATGTGTTTTTGTCACTGTCTTTTTTTTATTGTTTTGTAGGAACATTTTGGTGCGGAGTCATGGAACCATCACAATAGCAGTCCACAAGATCGCATCCTGAAGACAGCAGGACTCCTTAGCAGTTTTATTGCAATGAAATGAACAGAGACTAAATTCATGCAGTCCAAATCTGGGAAACACAACTGTCGCTTATGCATTCATTTGCTTTGTCGAATCTTCATATTTAGACTAAAACAGTTGTGCTTGCTATGTTGATGCTGTCGATATTGGTATCATGTAACAGAGCAGCGTGTTTGTTACATACAAGTTTCTGTAAACTACCTGGCTTTGTCTTTTTTGTTGTTTTATTTTGTTGCTTTTTTTTTGCGTGTTAAAATCCGACATGAACAACTCTAAATAAACCTTATCTTGATTTTCAGCTGTTCTATTGCATGCCAAGTATACATTTTCTCTCTTTGGGTCATTGTCACACCGTTGCACAAGTATTATCCTTGAGAGCACAAGCAGTTTTCCTCTGACATGCAGAACTGGTTTGACAGATGGTAACAACTTGACAAAAGGAACTGCACAAACATTTTAAAAAGCTGGGTGGAGAATATTTTTATGGATCTGCAGCGTTTTATAAAAGGAATTGACAGACGCTCAGAGTTTGAAAATATACTTTGGAAACCTTTGAACGTGTCAATGAGTTCATCCCTCACCTGCCTGCTGTGTTCCCTCTGCATTCTGCTGTTTCTCCGGGCAGTGTGGTTTTATTTAGAGACAGAGAATTTAGGGGGAAAATAATAATAATTAAAAAAAACACTAAAAGTTTGTGGTGTTTATTTGGGAAAATAATGGAAGAGAGTCTAAAGGGAATGAATACTTGTGCGACACGTCTTTTGGTGTCGCACCTGAGCGAAGTCTGTTGGTACGCAAGGTTTTGATACGCATAGTTGCCCCCACCCAGAAACAAGGGGGGGCGGGGGGGTCTCACTGCGACGTCCCAATCACGTGGCTGTCCCGTCTGTGAGGACTCCCCCCCGGTCTCTCTCTCTGCTCCTCTGCGATGCTGAGGCTGCGGTGAGAGATGAGGAGTTGCTGCTCCGGCGCGTAGAGGCGAAAGTTATGGCACGGCCATCGTCCTCCTCCTCCTCTTCCTCCTCCTCCTCTTCCTCCTCCTCCTCTTGCTCCTCTTCCTCCTCCTCGCAGCAGAGCAGAGCGTCCCGCAGCAGTTTGTGCCACAGCTCCGCGCCGGGAGCGCACATCGCATCTCCGGACACGCGAGAAATCCCCCTCACGCAGCCCGTCAAATCAATCTAAGTGGGGGGAGAAATAGGTCTGAGGCGAGGCGAGGTGGCGGCGGCAGGAGAGGAACATTTACAGGTATGTGTTGCTCCTTATTATAGGAACATCATCCAGTGGTCTTTTAACTGACTGCAACATTTTAGTCGTGCTTTTACTGCCCCGACCTGTCATCCTCAGTGACCCTCCAGTTATTTATGTGCTGAAAACTTTTCACCCACATTGAAGTCTGTGCTGAGTTTTGGCTCTTGTTACAAAATGACATCGCGATTTCTTTTTTATTTAAAGTGTCTCTGTGTGTGCGTGTGTGTGTTTCTTCCTTTTTTTTAAATTTATTCTTTCAGAAGTGAGTTAGAGGCGCAATGTAAGAGGCCTTGTAAAGATAACCGACCCGCAGCTGCGCACGGTAAGACCACTCTGTTCTCTCTCTCTCCACCCCATAATAATGCGGTTTTGTGCTTTGCTCCTAAGAGACTAAGCCTGCAGCTTACAGCTAAACACCTTTTATTCACCACACAATCTGATCCATAGGTTTTCGGAGTCTCGGCTCCAAACTACAGCAGTTGTCGTAAAGTCGTGAAGGACTAAAAGCAGAGAAAATGACAACATTAAAATCACCATCACAACTCATTGAGAGACAACAAATTGTCAATTAAAAACAATAACAAAACAACAACAAAAAAGAAGTAAGAGCAAGAAACAGTTATGGCATTAATTAATCTGCACAAAAGTAAGTTACTGGCAGGTTTGGACATGTCCGGATTCACTGCTATGAGTAAATAAGTATGATTGGTGGGCCAGATGGCCTCTTTTGTATACAAATATGCACTTTTGTATACAAATATGCACTTTTGTATACAAATATGCAGAGTCATGCTGCTTCAGCTCCAGTCATAAGTCTGTAAGTAAACATTTTCAGACTGCAAGTTCAGTTGAAGATTTTTGGATTCATTTGACAGCAGCCACAGCCATATGAGGATATTACCAAAGCCAGCCTCCCATTGACATATTATATAATTGATTTTCATTTGACGATGAGATGCATGGATAATTTTCTCTAATGTGAACCAGTGCTACAGACTGAGTGTTTTTGTGGTGTCAGAGTAACATGTGCAACTGTTGTGGACGGGGTCCTGTGTCTTGACCTACTTTCTTGAATAGTAGTAGATCAATTGGAATGTATGTGTAATTGAATTGAAATGACTTTTGTTCCAAAGCACGTTGAGAATACGCGTTATGAATGAACTCCATGTAAATAAATTGAATTGTATTGAATTGGAGAAGCTGCTTTCCCCGTTTCAGCTCTAAGCCCTTCAGAACCTATCTGCATAGATCCTATTTGAGGAATGACGCCTTTTCAAAATTGAAGTTATGCCGGATTGCTTGCTTGAGGACATGCCGCTCCAGAAGCAGCTATCAGCAAAAAATGTTAGCAATCTGATTTTTACTTTTCTTCTCAGTCACTGAGAGCTTCCTTTTGTTTGCCTGCATAGATCTTTCACAATGACATGACAAGAAATGTAAATTAGCAAGAGAAAAACATTTGAAAACATTAAACCCATTGAACCTGGTGAGTTGGGTGGATATGGTTGAAGCTGGGACCAAATATGTTTATCTCAGCTTCTCTTTGCTTGTGGTGGCATCTATATTGCGGGTGGGTTTATGATTTGCACTTGACACACTTGCAAAACCTGCAGAACGTTTGTCTGAACCTGGAAAGAATATATTTTTTTAATGAAACATTTATTGTCAGTAAAGGTAATTAAAGTCATCCTTGATGTCCTTTTTTCTTCTGGGCTGAAGTGATTTTAAAAAAAATTATTTCCTAGAAGTATTTTCTTAGAACTCGAGCCACATATCACTGCAGGCGGAAAAGGTTATGTTAACGGTTTAGTGCCATAAAAAGCTTTTTTTTTTTTTCTCAGATTTTTAACCAAACAACTTTTAAAATAAAGTAAAGATAGCTGAATGAATACGAAAAACATTTACAAAGTAACGACTCATGTCCAAAATGCAGTGAAATGCTTCCAAACCAACCTGATCCTATACAAACAAGATATTTCCCATCTTGTTAAATCGTAAATTATTGTAATTAGGCACATTTTTTGCTGAAAGATTATACTTTGAGTCCGTACAGGTTCTCATTTCCTGTCATTGTTGCATAATTTTTCTTGCAGGTTTGAAGCAGAACTGGTTGCATCCATAGTTCCAAGTGCTCTTCACCCATCCTTAGAATGAGGCTATAGGACTTCTGAGTCCTTTCTTCACCTGCAGTGCCTTCAGGGACAGCTCCAAGACAGCATTACAGGTATTCCCAAATACAAGCTAAATGCTATTCAGAGTATTGTTTGTGAAACAAAGAGAAGTAGAATAACTGAAAAGCAAGCTATGGTGGTTTGATGATCACATCAATTTTGATGTGATCATTCATTTATCTCACGTTTCCCATTGTTCTGTGTGATCAGTTCGAGCTGATGGGATGAGTGGTCAATCGTAATGACTAACTCTACAACACTGAACCTTGATACTGCTTTGATATGGCTGAACTGGAGGGGAGACTTGTTTGTCTGGTTCCTGCTGTACAGAGTGAAGATAAAAGATGGGCGATTAATTCATTCAGCTTTCTTGTATTTATTTATTCATTTATCTGACACTTAGGTTTTTTCCAAATACACAGCAAAACTGGTTTTTGAATGGAAAACGAAGGGTAACCCAAACACTGCGACCGTTTTAAAAGGACCTTCTTTTAGAGTCAAATCTGTGAAATGAGTTTGAACAATTTTGACACAAAAAGTGTTCAGAAATCCTGACAAAATTATGCCAGAACGTTTTTGGTGGCTTTGACTTTGAAAGCTACCAAGGATTGTGAAATTTCCCCAAATATTGGTGAGGTTTGTAAAAATGTGCCACCCTGTAGAAAAAATTTTCAATTAAAAGATCATATTTCTAATTTATTAGGATTTTTATTGTGAAGATGAAAACCCTGTCTGAATATCACAGGAAATGCTGTTATAGTTGTAACTTCAAAAATAAGTCTGAGGGATTTTCCTCCCCCTAGTGGCAATTTAATTTACCCTCTATTGATTACACTTGTCTGTAAAAAGTGACAAATGCACTCATTAGTATGTTCATAAAACAAATGAGTTTGTCTTGACTCAGATTGCACCTCCGCTTTTGTTGCGTTAGTGAAGGTTCATTTCCGACAAAAATAACACTTTGTGCTTTAAAACTTGGTTTCAAAGTTCAGGGCCTTTAAAAGTTTCAATTTGTGCTGAAATTCATATTTTTGCATAATTATGATCCATAGTGCTAAAAGAAAAAAACATTTGACGTTTTAAATATGTCCTCTGTTTGTTGTTTGTTTCAGGTTATCAACCAAAATTTTAATCATGTCTTCATTTAATAAGGAAGAACGCGATGTAATCAGTCCCTCCTACTAAATGTAAAAAAATTTTTTCCCTCCATTGGTTGTGGCTGTATTAGAGGCAGTAGCAGCCAGGTAAATCAAACATATATAATTTATAATAACTGCAATTCATCTTTGAAATAACTGTAGAGGCATTTTGACCCACTCCTCATTAGTAGAGTTGTTTTATTTACCCCTTATGCAGGTTTTTAGCTGTAAAGCCCTGTTGAGGTGAATGGATCTTTCTCATTTATGCCAGTTTCACCCAGAATCTATCTTATTGCTGAAACATTACCATTGACTTCATCTTAGGCTTTAGATGTAGTTTCAGGTTCTTTTGTGACCTCCTCTATTAGGTCACAAAAGCCACTTCTTTTACCATTGTCAATTTTCTGTAGCCAGGAGTATGTCTGGTTCTGTTCAAGTCAAGTTGTGTGCATCTCCACTGGAGGTTTGTTCCTCACTACGTGAATGTGAATATGAGTGGGAATGTGGGACCGTGAGCAGACTGTGAGCATGCAGGAGCTGTGGCTAGCACTGTTGTCTTGCAGAAAGAAGACCTCAGGTTTAAATCTCCATCTAGGGTCGTTCTGCTTGGGTGCATGTTCTCCCTATGCATGAGTGGGTTCTCTCTGGGTACTCCGGCTTCCTCCAGGCCAAAAACATGACCGTTAGGTGAACTGGTCTCCTCTAAGTTGTCCTTAGGTGTGAATGTGAGTGCACGGCTG